ACCCTGGGTCAAAGGTGCTGTGTTGCCAAATTGCTCTCCAGTTATTCTCCACCACTTCCCTAGGACTGGTTTCAGAAGTGTTTTCTCAACTCAATTCTCTGTTCGCTGTGGCCAAGCAGACACTGCCTTTGGCCCCAGCTGAGGACTCTGACAGGCAGGTAGGCTGCAGGCTGCAGGCAATGAGCTCTTATACAGTGGAGACCAGGCAGGGCCACAGGTCTGGGTCCTGCCCCAGGGTTAAGAGACTGAGTTGAGTAAGACTCAGGGCTGAGAGTCAGGTCAAGACTGACCCTGGGAGCAGGGCTGTAGCTACTGGAGAGCTGAAACTTTACCCAGGGACACAGAGGGTGAGTCCTCGCCGCATGGGTGGTGGCAGCAAAGTCTGTGTCCCCGGGAGCCAGAGCAGGACCTGACTGGCTCATATGGCAGCTTTGTGCAAAGGAGGAAAAGATGTCTCTTCTTCAGGGTAAAAACAAAAGACTGGGAGGGGCTGCAAGATGGCAGAATAGAAGAGTGCAGATCTCAGCCTCTCCCACAAATACATCAAAAATACATCTACATGCGGAACGATTCTCACAGAAGACCTACTGAACTCTGGTGGAAGAACTTGCACAAGTGGAACTACAGGGAAAATCATCATAAAATGGGAAAAGTAGCAAAATCTTACTGTATAGCACATATAAAACTATATTCAATACCTTGTAAATAGCCTATAACAAAAAAGAATATGAAAAGGAATATATTTATACATTTATCTACATATAACTGAGTCACTATGCTGTGCACAAGAAATGAACAACATTGTAAATCGACCATACATCAATTTAGAAAGAAAAGGTTGAGTTAGTGTATTACTGCATAACCTGAATGGCTCTGCCTGGTGGGCAGCATCCCTGACTCCATGTGCACCCACACCAGGGGGGCACACATGTACGTGGCTAGCAGCACACACACTGAGTGCCTGTCTCCCCACCCCCAGTTTCAAAGGCTCAGAGGCCTGGGAATCAGGCATTAAAAGGCATCAGGTGGCAAGACTGCAAAGGGCAGCTGCAGTGCAGGTGGGACAGGATGCACATGTGTGTGCAGAGGGTGTGCACAGGCCCAAGTGCCACTGTGAATTCAGGGCAAAGGTGGCTCTCCCCTGCTACGTGTCTGGAGACCCAGAGTCTCTATGCATCAGTGTGCTCTCAAATTAGGGTGTGTGTCTACCACGTGGATGACGCCCCTTAGATGTGGTGCCCTTGAGCAGTGCACAGCATGAAATCCTGAACATGGGCCACAAGGCTCCATCCATTCTAGGTCTGTGAGCTGTACCCCACCTGGTGGTGGGTGGGCTCCTCAAGAGCTTCTGGCCTGGCTCCGCCTAAGCTCAGGGATGCAGCAGAGACTTCAGATCTGAGTAGGGAGGGGCTGAGGAAGTAGAATCCAACTCAGGCCTCAGCCATCTCCCAAGGTAGTTCTCCAGGCTCAGGCTACCAATTAAAGGCCTTGAAGATGAAAGAGGAAGGCTTCGGTAAGCAGCCAGGCAAGACGAAAGCCAAGCCCAGGTAGTGCTTTATGGCCTCCTAGTGGGAGGATTCATGTTCTCCTTATTATGCTCAATCAAGAGCTTGTGATTACAGAAACGGGGGAGAGTCTAACCAAGGCGGCCACCTGGCCCTGGCTTTCACTCCTGACTCACTTTGACAAACCACACATTCTCATCTCCCCACCACCGAGCATCTTAGGAGTACGCTAATTGCTCCAGGCTTCTGGCAGCAGGCCCCACCCACCCTGGACAGACACTACACCCAAGCCCCCTCCCCGGCCCAGGAGCCTGAGCCTCCGCCGCGTGGCAGACCAGCGCCTAGAGGTGCTGGGGGCAGAGCAGCCTGGCCCTTCCTTCAGCTGGGCGCTCGTGGAGGGGCAGGAGGAAGGGCGGCGCCCCTGGCTGGGGGTTGGCAGACTGACAGGCCGCATCCAGCCCGCCGGGCCCCCTGCTCCCTTGACCCCAGCTGTGCTCAGCAGGCTGGCTCACCACCCCATGGACAGGAGCAGAAATGCCCATCCCACACTCCATGTATTTATTTCTTTATTGTCTGTCTCCCCCTATAAGAATGCAAGCCCCATGATGAAGGGCTTGTGTTAGTCATCCTCCTGCTGCTGTGACAAACTCCCGCCAACCTGGTGACTTAAGATTTACTATCCTACAGCTCTAGAGGTCAGACACCTCACTGGGCAAAACTCAAGGGCAGAGCTTCATTCTTTTCTGGAGCCTCCAGGGGAGAATTGGTTTCCTTTCCTTTCCCGGCTTTTAGACGTGGCCCACACTCGTTGGCCTGTGGCTCTTTTAATCGCTTCCCTCTGACCTCTGCTTCATCATGTGTCCTTTCTGCCTCTGCCTCTCCTGTCTCCCTCTTCCACTTTCAGGGACCCTCGTGGTTATGCTGGGCCCCCCGAGTGATCCAGGTTGGTCTCCCTATCTTCTGGTCAGCTGATTAGCAACCTTAATTCCCCCTTGCCATGTAACATAACACGTTGACCAGTACTGGGGTTTAGGATGTGGATGCCTTTGGGGGGCCCTCATTCTACCTAGGGTGCATTGTCTCTTGTTCACTGCTGTGTTCTCAGTGCCTGAACAGTATCTGACAGCTGTTGAATGAATAAGCAAATGAACAAATTATTAAGAACAACATTTAATAACATAGGAAACAGTAATTGTGCTTAGTAAGTGCCAGGCACTGTTCGAAGTGCGTTATGTGCACTTATACGAACTCACCTAATCCCCAGCAGTTCGGTGAGGTACACTTGACGACTGCCTCCGTTCTGCAGAGGAGGAAATGAAGGCACAGATGAGTTGCCCGCCCCGGGCTACACAGCCAGTTAGTGGTGAAGCCGAGATGTGATCTCAGATTTATTAAGCACTTACTTTGTTGCTGGCCCTGGCTGTGCTTGTTACATTTCTGATGTCATTTCATCCTCATGAGAGGCCACAAGGAAGGTGGGCAGAATGTGAACCCTGGTCTTAACGGACCCAGAACTAAGTCACTGGTTCAGCTGGGGGATTCGGAGGGGTTCTTCGGCTCAGTTGAGGCAATAGATTGCATGTTGCTTCCTGGGTCTCCTTACATTCTAATCAGACCCGGACATGGTGCTCAAGTTCCCATCATGATGCGGGGCTCCTGCCTTGGACCCTCCTCTCTAGTCCTGCTTCTATTCTATGCAATTAGTACCCAGACCAGCAGCAGGCATGCAACAGACCATGAACTTCACCTGCAACTGGGGCTGGCAGCTCTGCCTCCTAGAAGCCTGTCCTTCTCCAACGACACGAGCCTGCTTCCAACCACACCCAGAGTGAAGGCTGCATTGCCCATTTCCTTGATGACAACTCTGAGGACCCCCATAGCTGGGCCCCATCCATGTTTTGCACATGCTGGAGCTGCTTGCTCTCTGCATGCTAGCCCCTGTCACTGGCCTCTGTGACGGGCTCCTCTACCAGAGCCTTCTCCTTAGCTGCCCTGATTTTCCCTGCCAGCCTGCTCTTCAAGGCCAGGAGCTCTCGGGCCGGTGGGAAGCCCCCAAGGACTGCCTCCGCTTCCCTGGCTCTGCAGGGAGAGGGCCACTCAAGCAGGGAGGCGGCCCTGCCCCCAACTCACTTGCATCTTAACCTTTGTAATCAAAGCCAAGAAGAGTGAAACTCACTTGTGCCTGCCAACATAGCGGGGCATCGCATTTTCTGTTCCTGCCAGCACATTTTTCTAGGTCAATGTCAGATCAGGGAAATCCAATGCCGCATGTCCCAACTTTCTATTTGCAAACAGAGAGAGGCTTTCCAAAACAAATAGTGTTTACAAGCAAAGCCTGGAGACGTTTCTATCAGAGACACACTCAGTACCGCAGCAGGACAGATGCTTCCTGCCTTGGCTGCTGTAAATCCAACAGCAGCCCCAGCTCCAGCCCTAGAAGGATAGGCTGGGTTGAGGGAGAAAATATGTATATACACTTATGTGTTGATGTGTGCCTGTACAGATGTGCATATGCATGTTTCCTTAATGATCTTTGGGTGTGTTTAGCATGTGGATGTAAATTGAGGGTTATGCCTACGTACTTGTGTATATGTATATGTGTATGTATACAGGCATGTGCACATGCGTGTACATGTGTTTCTGCCTAATCATTTTGCACCCAGCCCTGTTCCTCAGACATCCAATCCTCTCTGTAGACAATTTCCTCTTCTCACTGCTACAGTCCAGCCCTCATCCTGTTCTTTTTCTCATCTGAGTGAGGAGCTGAGGCTCAGGGTCTGATATGCTGTAAATGCGTTTCCTCCATCCTGTTTCTTCTCGATGTCCACCTGCTGCCTGCTCCTAGTTAGATGTGGACATTCTGTCCAGGGCAGCTGAGTGCCATTTCTGCTTGCCACGTTGGGATCCAGCAGTCTGAGCTCCCAGCATGTTAACACCTCTTGGTAAATGGCACCTCGTACTGTCCTAGGAAGGCCTCTGTGTCACATCTCACGGACAGTCACCCTGATATCAGGATGTCCCTCACAGACTCTCTTCCTGGCGCCACCAGCACAGTCTTCCCCCAAGCACTGCCGATTTCTCAGCTCACAGCCCCACCTGCCTGGGAAGCACCGGTTTCATCCACACAAGCAACTCAGCCTGGCTTCCAAGAGCAGAGTGATTTTCTTAGCAAACCCTCCTGGTGCCTCCAGGAAAATCTCGGTAGGGGGGCTCCCTCGTGGTGCGTTAGCTCAGGCCCCTCCCTGAGCCCTTCAGTCTGGTCCTCGGCCACACCTTTCTCCACTGCCGCTTCTCTGCCATCGGCCCACACCCCGTGCTGCCCACACCCCGGCTGCCTTCCAGACCAGCTCCACGCCCGCCCCACCCCGAGGAGGCCTGCTCCCAGACACCTCCCGCCCCGCGGTGCCTTTCCCACCGGTCCTGCCTCACTGAGTGACACGCTGCCTGTGTGTTGCCCAAGGATTGTTTTCAGGTTGCCTCACAGCACTTACCTCGCCCTCCCACCTAGATTGCAATCTCCTGCTAGAGTCAAGGCCTCCGCTCCCTGTGAATAAACCATGGAACGCGACACAGGTCTGGACATGGTACAGACCCGTCTTACCACTGTGGCTCGTGGGTGAGTGGATACAAGTAGACAAGGCTGGGGTGGGGGGTGTTCAGGCCATAAAACTGCGTGCCAGGCATGGCGTCTGGTGACTCATCGGCCCTGCCTCATTTAACCCTCCCGATAACCGTGGGAGCAGGGTAACATTATCCCCATCTCAGAGATGAGAAAACAGAGGCTGAGAGAGGCCACACAACTAGCAAATGGCAAAGTCAGGACTAGTCCTAAGTCCGTCTGACTCCACTTCCCTGTTACCTTGAGATGACCACAGCAGTGGTAGGCAGAGTTCTAGAGTCCAGAGCTTCCTGAAATTTTAAAGCACACCCTACCAGAAGAGATTAGAGCAAGCACTAGATTAGCACTATCCAATAAAACTTTCTGCAATGATGAAATGTTTTTCTATCCTGTCCCATAGGGTAGCCCCCAACCACGTATGGCCACTGAGGACCTGAAATGTGGCTAGTGTGAACTGTCTAGGGAACTGGATTTTAAATTTTATTTAATTTTTATTAACTGAAATTTAAATAGTCCCCCGTGGCTAGCGGCTCCATGTTGGGCAGTATAGCTCTGTGCAACTACTTCCCAAGCATGTTCATGCTGAGCAAACAGAAAATAACAGTAGTTGTACAATGAGTGAGGCTGCTTGTTACTGGGGGCCACTGGCTCAAGGAGTCCTACCCTCTCGGTCCTACCCAGCCACCCCAAGGGCTATGACCCTGAGGGTCAATGTTGCGATCAACGTGTAACCCATTCCAGGCATACCAGCTCTTAATGATGGCAGAGTTCCCTGTCAGCTCCAGCCTCCAAGCCCAGGACACTAACGTCATAGTGATGATGAGAAACTCAGTACAGGACGTGCACGGGACCTGTCAGTCCTTGCATGGCCTCCTGTCCCTCCATTCACCACAGTCAGTGCCAAGCCCTGGGCTGGGGCTGCAGCACAAAGGGTGACTCAGAGCCCAGCTTCACTGAGCGTGGGGCAGCAATGATGACGAACCAAGCAGCCTCCCTGACCTTCACCGTCAAGGAGCCTGTGGCCCCATGGTTGTCAGAGAGCAGGACGCTGGTGGGCTCTGGCCCTGTGCAGGGGAGCCCAGGTGCCCGGAGACAGGGATCCAGGCGCCCACCAGGCTATTATTGGCAGCACTTTGGCGCCACCTCCTGGGCAGCTTGGAGAGTGCCAGTGGGTACAAGCTTGCCCAGAGGAAGGGAGGACGGGCCCTGCCCACCAAAGAGGGTTGGTTGTCAGAGACCTCTCAGGCCCCACCTGGCAGCTCACCGAGGCCCGCAGGGCACAGCAGCGGGGTCAGCTCTCTTCCTATAGGGAAAGGGCACCTTGGATGGAAGGAGGGGTGAGGCCAGCTGCCCTGGGGAAGGAGACGGGGAAGGGAGGCAGCTCAAGCTCTGTGTGAGTCTGGAAGGAAGACATTTCAGAACCCAGGACCTCGTTCACACCTCCATCGTACAACAGTACCAGGCCCTGGATATACTGGGAGAAACCTGGCAGGAGCTTGGAGGTGGCCAAAACGTGACTGTGGGAAGTAGGCTGAAGGGCGTGATGTCTGGGCAGGTCTTAGAGGATGAGAAGGGTTGGCTGCACTCAGAGGAGGAAAAGGAACTGAGTTCACAGAAGTTTGTGGCAGAGGGAGCCGCCCCAGGGCCCAAGCCTGGAGGTGAGAAGGGGGGAGGGCCTCTGGGGAAGTGAAGTGGCTCCGGGAGGCCAGAAAGTGGAGACTGTGGGGGGAAGGGCACTGGAGCTGAAGCAGCTGGGGTGAGGCTGCGGGGGCAGCGCGGTCCAGCTCACCCAGGGCCTTGTTTTCTGCAACCCCCACCCCCTCTGGCAGACCCCAGGGTCCAACCCCCAGGGACTTCTGAGTTTGAGTGGTTTTCTCCGGGGCTACCCAGAGCAGACCTGGGGCAGCAGGTGCAGCAGAGGAGCTGCGTAGTCTGGAGATGGGGGGAGGGGAGGGGACAGCCCCAGGCTGGGAGACAGGAGACTCTCCGCTGACTAGCCCTGTCACCTGGCAGCATTCCTCCTCTCGGGCCTCAGTTTCCCCGGCAGAAAGGGGTTGCCTGAGGGTCTCCATCAACACTGCTTAGCCAGTCTGAGTCCCAGAGTGCAGGAAGGGAGTGAGGTTTGGAAACATCTGTGCTCTGGGGAGTGTCCCCTGCCCCACAACGGGGTGGGTGGGGCGCTCTTCAGCCAGGCCCCAGTTATGCTCAGATGCTGAGTGGGGCTTCTTAAACTGACTGAGTCTTGAGTTCCCTCAGTGGGGGAGCAGGGGGAGTGGGGCCCCCATGGAGGGTTAGATGCCAGGCTGAGCCTCAGAGGCTTATGGGGGAGGGGTCTCTTGGTCAGAGTTCAGCCTCACAAGTTTCTTCATGGCCCCCACAAAGGGCCATGGAGGCCATGCCGGGGGAGCCCGGGGCTCTGTCTAGCTCCAAAAGTCTGAGGAGCCCACCGCAGTTTCTCCCCAAGAGATTGCTGGGGGGCAAAGTAAGAAGTCCCCAGCTGAGACTGTGGAGTCCTTTTCTGGGAGCTGCAAAGTCAGCAACATCTTAGTACTGAAGTTTCTGGGTGAGTGAGTCAGGAAGCTGGGATGGGAGACAGGGCGTGAATGGGGGACAGGGAGGGGGACAGCCAGAAAAATGGAGGGGGAGGGTATAGCTCGGCAGTAGACTGCATGCTTAGCACGCATGAGGTCCTGGGTTCCATTCCCAGTACCTCCATTACAAATATAAATAAATAAATAAAAATAAACCTAATTGCTTCTCCCTAAAATAAAAATTAAAAACAAAAACCAGGCATGAACAACTGAAGTCCCTGGAAAGCACACTGAGCCTCTTATCTGAGGGAGGCAGGGCAGGGTTAGGGTGACGCCTCATTTTATGACGGTAACACTTCCCTCAGGGAAGAATGTCAGAGGTCAGCAGTCCAGCCCAGTAATTCACAGAAAAGGACATCAAGCCGTACATTAGAGAGTAACGAGCACTGGGCCAGAGGGTACATTGGTGACTAAGTGACAGAGAAGTAGCTCCTTAGGGGAGGGACCTGAAGGTTCCAGCAGGCTTTTAGTGCCAAAGGGCAGAGGGAGGCATCCTGCAAGTGTGAAATACACACAGAATTTCAGGATTTAGTGCAAAAAAAAAAAAGATATGGAATATCTCATTACTGATTTTTATTTTAATTATATGTTGACATGACAAGATATTGGATATATTGGGTTAAATAAAACATATTAAAAAGTAATGTCACCTGTTTCTTTCTCCTTCTTTTAATGTGGCTGTGAGAAATGTTAAGATAAATAAGCGGTGGGCATCTGTGGTGTATATTTATTACACACCAGGCAGTGATTTCCAACGCTGGCTATGCCGGGTTGGTTCATTGCTGTCACCCCCAGACCTAGTCCACAGAGTGGGAGAAGGTGGGGATAGACAAGGGAACCTTAGAGGACTTCCTACGTGCGAGGCACTGGGCTAAAGTTTAGCATCTCACTTTGTCTTCAGAATCCCCAGTTACAGGAGTTCATCCCTCCAGCAGCCGGCCCTTCGTGCTGGGACTCCCCAGGCCCTGCTCAGGAAAGTGACCCCAGGAACCACAAGGTGGCGCTGTTCTCACAACCGTCCAGTCCCCTGAAACCTCCCGGCACCTGAGCCTAAAACATACTCCAGTATTTGGAAGAAGAGGCTTTCCCTGGACCAGTTGTTGAATTCTTTCTCGGCCTTCAGCTGCCAAAGGTTGTTCAGACTCAGGAATGCGGCTACGAAAAACACTCTGCGCTGAGTGCAGTGCAGGCTGCAGCTCCTCGCCAGTTCTCCTCTACAAAGGAATTCAATACCCAGAGGCCCTCGGGCACGCCTAACACATACGGAAGGAATGCGTGCACGCTAAGCAGTAGCACGTGCGTCGGCGCGTGCGTGAACAGGGCAGCCAGAGCCAGAGGACGCTGGTGTCAGATTGTTTAGCAGTGGGTTTTATTTTCCTTTCTGTTTTAGCTTTAGATTTTCTTAGGAAGGAAGGAAGGAAGGAAGGGGGGGGGAGGGAGGGAGGAAGGAAGGAGAAAGAAGAAAGAAAGAAAGAAAGAAAGAAAGAAAGAAAGAAAGAAAGAAAGAAGAAAGAAAGAAAGAAAGAAAGAAAGAAAGAAAGAAAGAAAGAAAGAAAGAAAGAAAGAAAGAAAGAAAGAAAGAAAGAAAAAGAGAGAGAGAGGGAGGGAGGGAGGAAGGAAGAAAGGAAGGGAGGAAGGAAGAAAGAAAGAAAAAGGAGGGAGGGAGAAAAGAAAAGAAAAGAAAAGAAAAGAAAAGAAAACCTACATTTAAACCAAATACGTAAAATTAAGGGGAAAATTTTAAAAATTGTGCCTGTTCCAGTTGCAGGTGTGGAGGCAGAAGAGTCTCTCCCCGGTGAGTAATTGTCTGAAGCATCGTTTGAAACCCACCAATCTAATCCCACAGCCTTGTTTCACGTATGAGGAAGCTGAGACTCAGGAAGGAGAAATGACTTGTTCAAGACCACACAGCTACTTTTAAATGTTTTTATTTTAAATCTAAGTCCCCAGGGCAGGGGTTTCCGCTGAGAAATAAAGGCAGTTTCTGCTTTCTCTGACTTCTGCCCAGATTCTCTTCCAACTGTGATGACAGCCCAGGGGAGAATGATGGTCATGCATGACACGTCCATCCAGCTCTGTTCACCACGAGCCTTTTCAGCAACTGTGGTCCTGCATGACGCTCACACTGTCCCTGAGAGTCGGGAAAGGTAAGAGGATACCCCAGGGATCTGAGAACAAACCAAGGCACAGAGAGGCCGCCTGACTTACTCTGGAGCATAGAGCGAGTGAGCGAGTGTCAATTAAAAAATAAAGTAGAAGATTAGCACCCAGGTCTCCTGCGACAATTCTACACTTGTAGTCTAGAGCTGAGTTTATTCTAGGCTTGGTGGGAAACACTTTAAAAAAATGAAGGAGGAGGCTGTTAGGTATTGGTTCCCAAGCTGATGGAAAAAAAAAAAGTGAGAGCAAGTCTCTGTTCCTTAAGAATAGGACCCTGACTTCCTCATTTTTATATATTCAGAGCCAGGCGTCATGGCTGGTCCATTGTAAGCCTCTTAACTCTTCATTGACTGAATAAATACATGTGACACAGACATTGAAATAGATACGCTTGGTTCCTGAGACAAGTAATTAAGATGCTGCAAATGTTACTATCATTTCCAAAATCCACATAGACAGAAACCCTGGGCAGATGTCTTGAGAGGAGGCAAGCTGACAGCACACAAGGATTCGCTGGTCTTTCTTTCCTGTCACTCTGAACGGTAACCCTCTAGGGGAAAGCAGGCTTCCGACAGTGCTGGGCTCCTGGCAGCATTCTTTTGGTTGGAATCATCCATTTAGCTAACATTTCCTACCTACCTACTAAGGATCACTGCACGTTAGGTCCTGAGGCATATGGAATGGATAAGTTGGATAGCATATTTAATAGTATAATATATCAGGAGTTAGATTTAAAACGAGAACCTTTAAAGGGAGCTAGCTGTGTGATCTTAACAAGCGCTGACTCAGTGTTGGTGAGAACAGGGGAAGCAATAATTAGCAATTCAATCTAGTGGCTATTTTCTAAACTCTAATATGCCCAAGAACGAGTGCTGGGGACTTGGAGAAACAGGGATGAGCAAGACAAGCCACTGGAGCTCTTCAGATAGACGGGGCAAGCACAGAAATAACCACTTAGCATCAGGTTTATCCATGTTGGAACATGTATCAAGACTTCATTTCTTTTTATTGCCAAATAGGATTCCATTGTATGGATATGCTACATTGTGTTGATCATTCATGGTTGCTAGACATTTGGGTTTTTTCTACATTTGGGCTGCTATGAGTAATGCTACCACGAACATTGATGTACAAGTTTTTGTGGGAACATATGTTTTTCTTTCTCGTGGGTAGATACCGACCTAGGAATGAAATTGCAGGATGATTTGCTAATGCTATGTTGAACCATTTGAGAAACTGAGACACTCTTCCAAAGTGCTTGCACCATGTTACATCCCCACCAGCAGTGTGTGCAGGTTCCAATTTCTCCCCATCCTCTCCAACACTTGTTATTATCTGTCCTTTTGATCACAGGAGCCCTTTTGAGAGTGCTCTTGTCAGATATTTTTCTCCTGCCTTCTGTGGGGCTGGACGCAGAGGAGGGACCACCAGCCAGCAGGGGGAGAGGTGGCTCTGGAGAGGGACTGTTCATGGGGTCCCAGTGCAGGTGGTCAGTGGTGCAGGGCACGAGGCTGCACTTCCCGGCTGGGTGTGGTCCTGCCTCACCTGTGAATCACGGCAGCCTGCTAAGCCCGAATGACGGGCATCCTCACCTGTGCTTGCAGCACCCAAAGTGCAGGGGCACAGGTAGGCAGCTGACGGAGCAGAGACTGGGCAAGACCAGGTTCTGGAAGGTGGACACTCTCAGGCAGCCGCCAGAGTGGAAGAGATCTTACTTTCATTGCATGTCTGCTGCGTGCCCACGCCTCCCGTTATCTCATTTCATTCTCACAACAGGATGAGGAAAAGGAATCAAAATCTCCATCTTAAGACCTGTAGATTCTGACTTCTTTACCTGCTCCAGGGTTTCTCGGGCTTTTTTGGTAAGTGTCTCCCCTACAAGCCCTTTTAGGCAATGTTTTCTAACTGCCTCCCCCCATAAAATTTTAGTACCACATATCTGTTTACATACTGTATGTACATCTATGCTTTAAATATAAACATAAGAATATTTTTGTCCCCTAAGACCAACTCTTGCCCCTTAGGGATGACACTGCCTGTGGGGAAGCCTTGGCCTCCTGCACAATGGACTGAAAAATGATGATAAGACAATGCACCTGCCTTCAAGATGTCGTGGTTCACTGAGGATGATTCAAAAGTTACAAACCAAGGGACAAAGCCCCAAGCACTGCAACAGGAACTGACAACACAACGACCATGTGTGCTTGAGGTAAGAGGCTGACACGCCAGGGGCTGGGCAGAGGCCACGGACCTGCTCTCTTGGGAGCTACCTGAGTCATCCAAGGCTGCATTCAGTGCATCTCTCCTGATCTTCTCCGGTCTGCTGCCGAGCTGCTGAGTAAGCCCCCCTTTCAGGTGACTCCCAGGAAACTGGTTTAGCAGCACAGCAGAAAGTCCAGGCAGCTGGGGGGGGGGGCAGGAAGCAGAAGATGGGCCTCCATTCAGAAGCCGGCAGCTGCAGGAATCTTTCGCTGCACCACGAGGCTCGTCCTGTCCCCTGACCTTGGGCTCCAGGAGTGCATCCAGGCTGGGCAACAAAGAAGGGCATGCCCCGTAAACTTGAGTTGATTTTAATGTCAGCTGGCTTGCTCAGTCCCTCTTTAAAGGAATTTCATGTCCACCTGGCCACAATTTGGTTTTACTCCTGTGTGTGCTGGTGGCTCAGGACGCTGGCTGTGGCCACCTAACCCGGCCGCAGAGCGCATCACGACAGAGTCTCTGATGCATGAGCTCCCCTTCGCCGCGCGCAGAACTTCAAGGGCTCTTCCAGCCGTGCATCTAGCAAAAGTAAGAAAGCATGCTTAGACCCAGGGAGCAAGGTTTAAATTGTGTTTTTCTTGCTCTTTCTCTTTCTTCTTTGAGGATCTGCCTAATAACCTGCAGTACCATGGGAGATACATATTTGGTCTTTGCCCCCAGTTCCTGGTACACATCTCCAAAAACTCTCAGAATCTCTGAAACGATGAGTGTCATCTTGGTATAAGATGACTGGTGGCTGGGGGTCCCTAGACAGCTACCGGGTGGGAGCAGGTCACCAGAAAGACCAGGGCTTGATTAGAGGGTTGGAGCTTTCAACCCCACCCCCTGACCTTCGGGGAGGGGAGAGGCTTGGATGGAGTTACTCATCAGTGACCATTGATTCAGTGAATTGTGCCTCTGTAGTGAAACCTCTGTGAGAGCCCTTCAGTGACAAAGTTCGGAGAGCTTCCCAGATGGTGAGCACCTCAAGGTGCTGGGAGGGTGGCCCGCCCAGAGAGGGCTTCACACCCCTCCCCACATACCTCGCCCTGTGCGTCTCTTCCATTGGCTGTTCCTGTGCTGTTTCCTTTATAGTAAACCAGTAATAGCAAGTAAAGCTCTTTCCTGAGATCTGGGAGCTCTTCTGGCAAATTGTTGAACCTGAGGGTGAGGGTCATGGAGCCCCAGGTTATAACTAGCTGGTCAGAAGTAGCTGGGACTCGTGACTGGCATCAGAAACGGGGATGGTCGTGTGGGCCTTGACCTGAGGGTCTGCACTAACCCCCGGTGAATAGCATCAGAATTGATCTGAGTTGTTGGACACCCAGTCAGCATCCAGGGTGTTGCAGACTGGTGGCTGGTGTGGGAAAACCCTGTCAGAAGTGTCAGAACCACTTGTACGGTTCATTCACTGTTCGCAGTATCCCCAGCCCAGGGCCCTTTACCCGCACAATCTCATTAACGCACCTGACAACCCCAGGTGGTAGGTACTGTCATTGTGCCCATGTTACAGATGTGAAGCCTGGGGCTGAGAGTAACAGAAGCTGAGAGCTGGGATTTCAACCCTGGTCTAACTCTGAAGTCAACATTGTGTTTTAAAACAACTCATTTGTTTGCTTTTAATTTTTTGCGTAGGTACTACGTCTACAATTTGCAAATTTCACCAGGTACAGAGGGTTAACACGGGACAGTCCTCTGCTGACAAACGCACGGTGCTGTGCGCACACTGTTTTGCACTTGTTTATTCAGCAAGGATTCGTTAGGTGCTCCCACGTGTGAGGCTCTGTTCTAGGAGCTGGGAACAGAGATGATCGAAACAGCAAAGCCTCTGTTCATCTGTTTTTATAGAGCTGACATTCTGGAGGGCAAAGAGAGACCTTCAAACCTACACACACACACATACACATACATACACAGAGGGAGAGAGAGAGAAAGAATATTCTGTGTATTTTAGGAGGTGATAAATGCTATTAAGAAACCAAAGCAGAGGACAGAGAATGATGAGGAGAGTTGCTATCTTAGATGTGGTTTGGAGATCCCTCAGATAAGGTGACATTTGAGAGACACGAAGAAAGTGAAGAAGGTACCTGATAAGGGTGTAGCATCTGGAACAGGTAAAGGGCTCTTCTAACTCAACAACAAAAAGACAAGCAGCCCCACTTTTAAAAATGGGCAAAGGACTTAAATAGGCACATCTCCCAAGAAGAAAAACAGTCAACAGACATGTGAAAAGACATTCAACAGTTTACACCTTACATCCAGTATCATCAGTCACTGGAAAAATACAAATCAAAATGACTTCACCCCCATCAGAATGGCTATAATAAAAAAAAATGGAAAATAAGTATTGGTGAGGATGTGGAGAGGCTGGAACCCTCCTGTGTTGCTGGTAGGAATGTAAAATGGTGCAGTCACTGTGGAAAACAGTTTGGCAGGTTCTCAAAAAGTTAAATATAGAATTATCATACGACTCAGCAATTGCAATCCTAGAATTGAAAACAGGTCCCCACACAAGTACGGGTACATGTATGTTCACGGCAGGACTATTCGCATCAGCCAAAAGGTAGAGGCAGTTCAAGTCATCGGTGGATGAATGGAGGAGCAAACTGTTGGGTATTCACACCACGGAGTATTATCAGCCTGAAAAAGGAACGAATACAGATGCATGCTACCACCATTCGTTTTCTTGAGATCTTTCACCAATTTCTCCTCTCTTGGTTCTCAGTTTGAACCCAGTCAAGAAAATTTGAACTCAAATTATTAAAAAAAAAATGTTTGGTGGTGGCTGCTGGCAGAAAGTAAAATACAAAACTCGGAAAACTCTTCAGTTTTCCGTTTGATTTTAGCCACAGTCATACTGTCTCCTTCGCTTGGGCTGGGGTGCTACCAGCAACACTGCCCCGCCTTCTGATCTCCGGTGAAGCTTGGTATCTCCCCCAGCAATGATGAAGGTTTGGTCCCTGAACAGATAGTATTCGGGTCACCCAGGAACTTGTTAGAGATGCTGAGTTGAGGGCCCCGTCCAGGAGCCTGTGTTTAAGACCCGCTTCCCTGCCCCCTGCAGTTCGGACGTTTGCTGAAGTTTGAGAACACCAGCTAAAAGGTGGTGAGTGCCGGCATGGGCTGCCCGGCAGTGTTGGTCAGCCTCCCGGCCAGCGGGTGAATCTCCAAAACAACACAATCAAACTAGCAAGGGTCTTGCAGGGATAGTAAGCAAACAGACCCACTCCACGTGTTTGCTTTAGACTAAGAAAGAGCAGACACAGAGTGACGATGACAGAGGGATGTAAATGAAGAGACACAATTCTAGCAGTATCTATCCAAGTTGCTCCCAAGGTAGGACGTCTTTCCCCTGTTAACAGTGGGGCTTTGGGTAGGTCCCTTCATTTGAATCTTGCTCATGTATCATGAGGGGCTGGATGGAAATCATACTGCAGGAAGGGATGTGCAGACCATGAGAAAGAAAGGAAAAAGAGCTTAAAATGTGACAGCCTCAGCAGCAGGACCTAAGTGTGGATGGGAGCGTGCTCTGGGTACAGAGCGTGTTTATTATGTGAACTTCTTCTGACCCAGCCGTGCTGGCGACACTGCACCGAGGCAGACAAAAGGTTTGCCTTCGTAAACAGAGAAGAGCTGTCTGCTCAAGACCCTCCATCACCCTCCATGTCTAAGCAAAATTGCCAGGGACACTCCCCTCACCCAGCCTTCCCTGGAGCCCCAGCTGAGTGCACACAAAGGGAGCTCTGTTCCCTGTCCGCTTTGCAACAGCTTTGTTGGCTGGACCCTGCAAGGATGCGGAGGCGATCATACCATAATAGCTGACACTCCCTGGTGCTTGCTCCATGCCAGGGGCTCTGCTAAGTGGCTTAAGGAGCTATTCCTTGTAAGACTCACAACAGTCCTGGGAGGTAGGTGCAGTTCCTGCCTTCCTTTTATAGATAAGGAAAGTGGGGCTCAGAGATGTGGAGAGACTTGTCCCAGTCACCTGACTGGAGAATAACACAGAGCTGAGGTCATTCCGGGGCCCCTGCCCTTTATGATGCCACGGCAATGCATCTCACAAAGGAGAGATTGGTTAAAAGATGAGAAAACTAGAGTTTAGAGAGAGAAATTAGCTTATCTAAGATTATAAACCTAGACGGTAGCAAAACCATGACAAGAACACAGTTCTTTTGCCCACACCATGATGCCCCCACTGCAGGCTTCTTAATCTGATATTCCTGACCAAGGACAGAGCGTCTCCCGGGAGGTGACCCTTCCCCTGCAAGCTGCCGAGGTTCCCGAGGTTCCTGAGCCGCAGGCTGCAGAGCAGCTCAAAGTCTGGATTCAGGAATCCCACACCCCCACTTGAATCCCTGACCTAGACCTTGGGCAAGTTATTTTACCTCTTTTTCCCCCCAATTTCTTTTAATTTAGGTATAATTTACGTGCATTAAATTCAGCGTTTTTAGTGGACTGTTCTACAAGTTCTGACAAATGTATACCAATATTGTATGTCTACCGCCACAACCAAATGTCCCTGTGCCCCTTTACAGCCAGTGCCTCCCTCCGTCCTACCCTCTGGCAACTAATGATTTGTTTGTAGTCCCTTTAGCTTTGCTTTTTCTAGAACATCATATAAATGGGATCAGCATATAGCCTTCTGAGTCTGACTTCTTTCACTTAGCATAATGCATTCAAGATGCATTTTTGTTGTTGTGTGTATGTTCATTCCTTTTCCCTGCTGACCAGCCAGGATCTCAACATGGCAAAAACCGACAGTAGCCACCCCACTTTAACTGGAAACACCCCGCAGGCTGCTGAAATCTTCACACATTAAGTTTCGGCTCATTATCTTCAAGATGACACAACTCTCTAGGAGACAGTGGTAGTGGACTGGATTGCAGATGCAGATACATCCCTTGGGGACTTCCCAGATTATCTTAGTGACAGCAGGTGCGGGCAAAGAGCCCTGTGGTTTAGGCAGTAATGTGCCCATAAGCTAGAGAATCCTGGGATATTCAGGTCATGGCAGTTAGGGTCAGAGCCAGAACTCAAACTCAGGACCATCCGGATCCAAGTGCAGCCTTCCTCTCTCCAGCAGCTTCCAGCCACATCATGGGGACGCAAGTGTTGCTGGCTGTTGCACAGGTCAGGGGACAGGCTGATGGCATGAGAGGAGAGCTTTTTGGTAAGCCACGATGCCAAAGCCAAATGACAAATGAATCCTCAGTAAAGCTCATTGCAGAATGTACCCCAAAGTGCTCCCTCTCCTACCTACTTAATCAGCATGTCCAAAGGGCACCCAGGCATCTGCATTGTTTAGCAAGCTTCCCAGGTGATTCTATTATGAAGCCATCATTGAAAACGGCTCCAGGGAAGAAATAAACACACCACCCTGCCCCCGGGCCATGGAGAGAATTGGGTAGAAATGCATTTCTAGATGTTCTTCCTCTATAGTTGGCTAATAACAACAATTCTTCACTCACTTTTGGCACTGGCTCTACCAAAATTCTCTTGCTCCTGAGTCATCCTCCACTTCAGATACACATGCAGAAATTAACAGAGCATATGAATCCACCTGCTAAATTCGAAAGGAAGACAGCTAGGCTCGGGGCTTATCCCTCAGGTGCTGTGTTCCAAGGATGATGGCCAGGATATGGTCCTCTGGGTCTCTTTACCCACCCACGGAAACTTGGCAATTGAAATGTATGTTTTGGATATTCAGGGGCAGTTACTCATGGAAACCTTGAATCCACATGAACACTTTCCAAAGCCAGATGGAGTTTCCATTCAGAAAAATCTTGGCATCCATTTCTTCAGAATAATCACAATTTGCAGGCAGGAGCTGGGAGGTTTTGATGAAATTGGTGGCTGGCACTGCCGGTCAGAGGTCAGCTAGCAAACGAGAGGAGGCCCCTGGCTGACTTGTCCCTGTCCTGTCGGACCTGGTAGCCTTCTATTTCTAATTCAATTTCTAATAACCTCCTCTAATGCAAACTTTCCTTGATGAGGATTGCCTTGTTAAAATATAGGCAGACTCACCCCAGACATTTAAGGCAGCCTAATAGCTAGTAACAGAAACCCAAAGGGAAGTGTATAAGAAGAATCCCAAAACATCTCATGGAGTCTCAGGGCAGACGAGGCAGCTGGGTCTCGGACGCATGAAAGAGGAGAACCAAGAACCAGAGTGACATCACGCTATGAAGCAGCTCCTCTCTTCCCATCACCCACCTCTCAGGCTCATAGAGTCTCATTTCTCTAAATCTCTCTCCATCTCTCTCATTAACTTTCTCTTTGTGTGTTGGCTTTTGTCCTCAAGCAGCTAAACAGTGGTGTTCCCAGCCTAAAAATCCAGGAAAGAATCTGATGGGTCAAGCTTTAGACAGGAGTCCATCCTGGTCCAGTCGAAGGGGTGGGAGAGATGGGCCATCCATGGGGGTACCACAGGCTCTCCTGCTCCCACAGCCAATTGGATCGGCAACAGACACTGCCCTCTTCCTACGGACATTCTAAAAAGAGTCATCCTCTTTTGTCTTTTCCTCCGTCTTACTGTCCTGGCTTCATCTGCTTGCTTCTCTGTTTCTTCATACGCTGGAGATTCTTTGTGGGCAGGGACCCCAGCCCTTAGCTGGCCTGCATTCATTCAGGGTATCCTTACTGAGTGTGAACTCCCTGCAGACCCTGGGCTGGAATGGACAGGAGATGGTTGCAGGGACAGGTATCTTGGGCCATCTCATGGGGCCTGAATTCTAGCAGGGAAAACAGATACCAAATACTAAATAGATACTAAAGAGCTGTGCAGAGACATGAACTCTGAGCCAGCTCTTCACGTCTGTTTCCAAGTTATGTTCAGTGTTGTCTAAGATGGAAGGAAGAGAAAAAAGAGGAGTGTGTAATCAGTCCTTCCTTGGCCTTATTAATTATTTTGAACGGTTAAAGTGTGAAAAATTGGTACGTAATAGTCACCTATACAGACCTGTTACCGAGTTCAAACTCATTCAGCTCACCACACGACAGGCCAATAAGTCGGGAGACGAGGTGTTGGGGCAGGGAATAGCAACTTTATTCGGAAAGCCAGCAGACCGAGAGGATGGCAGACTAATGTCTTGGAGAACCATCTTCCTCAAGTCAGAATTCAGGCTCCTTTTATACTAAAAAGGGGAGAAGGTGTGGTTGGTTGTTGCAAACTTCTTGGTGTAGGAATTCTTTGTTATTGCAGCTGTCTAGCGGGGTCAGGTCATGGTGCCCCTGTGAAACCTCTATAAGACAAGTGTGATTTTCTATTCTGCAGCTTATCTTTATATAAGTACAAAAGAGTTAATATTCTTTAAGGTCAGAGCCTTGAGAATAGGCTCTCCTGTATATTTCAGGCTAAAGGCAAC